CACAAGTCGGAGCAGAATTCACATGAATAACACTGACTGCATGCTTGAAACAAAGAACCGCATGGGAGCCACAGGTGGAACCCCTCTACCGGTTTCGCCCGTCCCACCAGAAACGGGTCTCATCAGGAGGGTGAACTCAAATGAGTTCGCGTGCTAAGAGGGAAGCTCATGCCTTGCCTCCCGAATATATATAACTTCAGACTTTCGTGCCCCGTCCCCAAACAGCCACTATATCTAAGTAGCCAAGAAGTCAAGCTACAGAAATCCGAACTCCTACAAGAAATAAATATAGAAAACAAAACTCGCGCCGGTCAAGACTCAAGTCACCCCGTCGCTTCTTCGCCTCCTACACCTTACTAACGTTTCTGGCAGTAAAAGTGGTCCGGTACGGAACCACAGCCAAATTGAAAGAGCCCAGAAACTCCCGAAATGTCCGAAACGAACAAAGCGAAAATGACACAAAAGCACAAGACCCCAAGGTTCGAAACCCGACCCAGTACAGAACCTCAGACTGTGAATGGACCGAATCCCCTGAATACAAAACCCCGGCTTACCCCCTTCGAAGACCGGTAACACGGGTATACTCAAGAACTCTACCTAAAGGCCGCGAATCTCAGAGCAGTCAACAAAACTTGCAGCGCCCTGTCAGGCGCAGCCCTGGCCAAACTGGCCAGGGCACCGAGAGAGGCCTCCGGGGGGTAACCCCGGAGGTTGGCTTCACAGATAGCAAAACCAACGGCTCCCAGTACCAGCTGCTTGCTGGTAGTCTGGTCCCAGAGTCTTCGCAACTTCATCGTCAGAACCACCTTTTTCACCGCCTTTCTTGAGTACGAATTATAATCCTGCATAGTCTGGAACACCTGCGAATTATCGCTGTGGAGTGAATCCGTGTTCTTTGTACACGGCACATAGTGTAACTGCACAGGAGATCCGCGGATATACATTGAACCGCTGACGAATTCCCAAGTCAATCCACAATCATCCTTGCAGATCACCTCCAAATTTTCATCGTAGATATCCTCAAAAGCCTTGAAGAAGCCACCAGGGAAGAGCCAACTTGCGGTCTCACCATCTATGCCAGCTATGACTGTGATGTCATCCATGATACGCCAGCCACATACCAGCCTTCTCTCAGCACCCAATTGATTCAAAAATTGCATCTCTGCCATGGCGCAGGTCACCGAGGCCAGGATCAGGCTCGTGGATTTCCCCATGGGAATTCCGAAGATCTGCTTCATGACCTTCTCTCCACACTTCACCAACGAGTGCTCTTGATCATACTCAACTCCTACCAAAATCTGCCTCAGTGTGATGCTAACATACCCTTCTGTCCTCCGCCTATTCTTACTGATCACCACCAGTTTTCCCCGCATAGACACCTTGATCTGGGTGCATCCATCATCTTCGTACTTGCGCAATAACTGGCGAACAGCCTGAATGACAACACTGTGCGGAATACGGGAGAACATCTCCTTGATGTCATAACACCTCCCCTCCGCGTGCGTACAGCCAGCTGCTCGTAGTTGTTGAGAAGCGGCAGCCAGCCTCTCGGCCAGTTCACCCACTGCATTAAGATAGAAGGAGCAGTGTGCTGGCAAGCGCTTGAGCAGGCAATGCAGTGCTCTAGCGATCCTTCATTGCGCGAGAGCTGCCGGATCCGCAGTCGCCGGTGCGATCGGCCGCCATCTTCCCGGGTCCTTGTGCTTCGGTACCACGTAGGCAGCCCCCAAACGTCCGTCGGGTCTCCATCCACCGATTTTCCCCAATCCCCTTGCCGTAAAGTCGGCCTTACAGGCCTTTAAAAGCGACGCCTCGGTTTCCACAGTCCCAACACACTCGTAATTCGTGTTCCAGGAGAACGACTTCCCAAATGCATGCCTGTAGAGTACCGGGCAGATAACCGTCGTGTCACCCTGGTTACGATCTATAGGCACCAGAACCAGCCCTTCGAATCGTAATGCCCAGAAAACTACCTCCTCGTCCGCCCACGCTCCTGTCAACGGTTTTCTGTCCTCCCACGGAGATGTGATAGTCACCTGCATCGACCCAGAGCCCCGGATGTGCTTCATGGCATCCAAAATAGCCCTGATAATGGTAGGAGTCTGGCATGCTCTCGCCGGCCTCGTGACATTCCTTGAATTTGCTACGAACTGCGGAACCTTCGTCTTCGAAAAACGAGTTAGCACGTGCCCATCCAGCTTGTCCAAAGTCGAGCCCTTACAAGGGCACCGATAATGTTCGTCATTAGCATACACTCTCTGATTGTGAAGTAGCTCCCAGACATTCTTGTTTTTTATCCAAATGATACGAATTCTTGTCATGAGAAACTTGGCTACCACGAGGTCCGATACCCTGTTGTTGATCAATCCCTCCGTAGCCTCCCGTACCGCCGATTTCCTCAGGCGAGAATCATACGGTAGTTTGATGTTGATCCTCCTCCTCACACTGAAACCCACCTTCTGTGCGATAGCTCGGTCGATGCTAGTTCTCAGTCTGAGTCTCGTCTGCTTCTCAGCAAACAGCCGAGCTGTTCTATAGAGACCAATGAGCCTACTGGATGGAAGATTAGCCAGCTGACTCGTCGGTCTCGGCTTCCGCAGAAGCCCAATCAGCCAGGTCTTGTTCTTCTCAGTGGCTGTCCTAGTTCTGACAACCCGTACGAGTCTCACCGACCCGCCTTGCTCCAATACTTTCTTCGCTTCTCGTAGTGTCGACTTCTTGCCTTCCGTCTCGAGGATCGTGCTCCCATACCTCCTCACGACATTCCTCCAGCGGTCCGTCCACACCACACCACCGGAGAATACCAAATTCCAACATCCCCTACCCTCGTGTTGTGTCAGCCACAGCAACAGCGACGTACATCTCGAGTTCTGAAACATGAAGGTGACTATCCTTTGAACCTGCGCAGTCCCAGCCCTACCTATCCTTTCTCGTCTACCCCTCCTCCCCCTTCTCCTCATCGGCTTACCTTCCTTCCCAAACTCCCGGGAGTTCAGACTTGGACACAAATCGGCAATCAGAAATCTTTCAAAAGCGTAATCGTCATCCTTGCCAGAATGCTTCAGTGGGATCATCGTGTACTTATCCAAGCCAAATTTCCTGAGCCACCAATACAGATGCGGTGCCAGACCTAGAGCATCACTTCTAGCGTTACGACAGTGTTCCCTCCATCTTTGAATCATTGGCCGGACAGTACATCCTACGTACGTTTTCCTTGCCCACGGACTCACGACAGCATACACACCCCCCGTCTTCAGATCAAGCAACTTCCCCACCTCCTCACTCCGCATAACGTATTTCTCTAGCCAGGGGATCTGACCCCTAGCCACTAGTAACAATGTCGTAACAAAGATCGCACATTCAACCCTCCTGGCCACGTCGCCAGTGACTTTCAGCCCCCCCAACGTTGAGCGCTCGCCAATCCAATAATTCAGCTTCTCCCAAAGCTCTCCGTTAGTAGGGGTTACTAACCGTCAGTCTGTATCCGAATCCTCCGTGGGTTGTGCTGGTGCCGACCTCAATATGACCCTCGAGGGTCTCGATGCTACCGTCTCCACCACTCCTTTACCCTTGGCGGTGTCCAATATGGGCGTTCCCTCTCCAGCAGCCTTCTTAGCTACCGTGTCCGATCGTAGTCCTTCATCGAATCCATCATACGCTAGATGCACTTGGTGCCTAGCCAGTATCTCCACGGCGTCCGGCTTCCCGGTATACTTGATCCCCTTACGTTCGCAGAGCTTCTTCAGAGTGTTCGCCTTCTTTGCCGAGTAGATCCGATGCGCTAAGATGCAGTATTCGATCAACCCCTTTTGTGAGCACTCCGCGGCCAGGCCTTTATATCCAGCCAAAAGCGGCGTCTTAGGCTCCGTCTCCCCCTCCTTCCGATCGTCAACTACTTCATTCTTCCTCAAAAACTCCTCCTTCCTGGGTTTTGAACACTCCCCCTGCTCGTATACTCGTGGTGGACTTTCCACCGGAAGCTTCCTTGGTTTCCCCTTCTTCGCCGCCGACCGTCCCCCCACCCTCTTTTTCCCTTTCCGTATCTTATCACGCCTCTTGTGTGAGTCGTCCGAGCTAGCCGATGTAGACTGTATATCAGATGTGTCTGAATCCCCCGACTCTGGATCTGAGTCGTCACTAGTCTCGGGGGACGCGATCTTCCTCGCGGTCTTGCCGAAATTCCTCCCCTTCTTGCGCTGTCGTCTCGTAGTTGCGCTCTTACTAGCCTGCTTCATCCTCTTCAAAGCCTTCTTCGCCTCGGAGTCCTTCTTCCTCCATTCCTCGACCAGCTCCGCCCGCAGCTGCAATTTAAATTCTTCAGCCTTTCTAGCGAAGTCAGCGTTCCGCCTTACGTCTTCCTCCTCCCTCGCCTTCCGTTCCTCCTCCAGCCGTTTCCTCTCTTCTAACTCCAATCTCTCCTTCCTCGCTTGTCTATGTTGCTCCTTGATCTCCTCCAATTCAGGGTCTACGTAGTTAGTCGAGAAACCTCTCCCGGTTCGTCTGGACCAACAGTCCCTAGCAAAGTGCCCCGCCTTCCCGCAATTAAAGCAAACGTTATTCCCTCCACCGAATCCACCTCCACCTCCTGCGTATCCGTTACCCGCTCCATATCCACCAGAATTACCTCCGAACCCATTCCCGTTATCAGCCGACTGACCACCCGCGCCCCCCGCTGGGCCGTTTGTCAGAAACATCTTCTGAATCCGCGCGGTCAGCAAGGCGCGACAGTCCTTTCCAGGAAGCTACCACGGCAAGCCGATCAACCGAGAAAATCACCAAGATCCCGTATTCCAGGAGAACCCCACCCGCCTTCGCCCTCACGATCGCCCAGCTTACCAGGTGCAGCTTATGCCTACCCCAGTCAATCCCTCCATAGTTCCACTATCTCTTCCCGGTTCACTCTTCTCCGCGATCTCAAAACCCGTATTGTAGTCTCTATGCGAATTAGCATACACATCAGACTTTCGTATAATCCCGCATGCAGCCTCTCATTAGTTACGAATTGGATCATATAAAATAAAGGTCTGATCGTCGTGCTAACATAGCTCTCCAAAACGCGGATCATGCATAATCGATCCAAGTGGCATCCCCGTCTAGGTGCGCTAACCTCACTACCGCAGAAAGCACAAAAGGACGGCATTTCTCCTCAGAACGCCACGCTAACGATCATCAGGCCTATCCCAACAAAAATGAACCCTATCCCGAATAATACCTGGTGCACCGACCTACCCAGTCTCGGCATCGCGTGACACCCCGTCGGCAGGTAAGATCAGCAATCCCCAAAGCTCCTCCCAATGGAGAAACTCCTCTCCCTGCGCCGCGAAACTAAGCCAAAACACCCATGCCCCTCACTGCGTATACAAAAGGCAAGAACCCGGAGTCGACGCAGCCACCATCTAGCATGCACAGCCGACAGTTACTACGAGCCAGAGAGTAGGCAAACTGCGGCATACACAGTCTGAGCGGCCATAGCCAAGACACAAGTCGGAGCAGAATTCACATGAATAACACTGACTGCATGCTTGAAACAAAGAACCGCATGGGAGCCACAGGTGGAACCCCTCTACCGGTTTYGCCCATCCCACCAGAAACGGGTCTCATCAGGAGGGTGAACTCAAATGAGTTCGCGTGCTAAGAGGGAAGCTCATGCCTTGCCGCCCGAATATATATAACTTCAGACTTTCGTGCCCCGTCCCCAAACAGCCACTATATCTAAGTAGCCAAGAAGTCAAGCTACAGAAATCCGAACTCCTACAAGAAATAAATATAGAAAACAAAACTCGCGCCAGTCAAGACTCAAGTCACCCCGTCGCTTCTTCGCCTCCTACAGCTTACTAACGTTTCTGGCAGTAAAAGTGGTCCGGTACGGAACCACAGCCAAATTGAAAGAGCCCAGAAACTCCCGAAATGTCCGAAACGAACAAAGCGAAAATGACACAAAAGCACAAGACCCCAAGGTTTGAAACCCGACCCAGTACAGAACCTCAGACTGTGAATGGACTGAATCCCCTGAATACAAAACCCCGGCTTACCCCCTTCGAAGACCGGTAACACGGGTATACTCAAGAACTCTACCTACGGGCCGCGAATCTCAGAGCAGTCAACAAAACTTGCAGCGCCCTGTCAGGCGCAGCCCTGGCCAAACTGGCCAGGGCACAGAGAGAGAGAGAGAGAGAGAGAGAGAGAGAGAGAGAGAGAGAGAGAGAGAGAGAGAGAGAGAGAGAGAGAGAG